ATATATATATATATATATATATATATATATATATATATATATATATATATATATATATATATATTGTTGTAAAATATAAGTAACTTTTCTTGTCTTGAACTTTTAAGATAACACCTTTTAGGAATAATATATTTTTTCGCCAAGACAACATTTACTTTGGAACAAAAAAAGTATTTAATTTGACGCATTGACTAATTAAGCTTAGGGGAACCATTCATGTTAGTTGACTTGTGAACTTAAGATTGTGAGGGGGCAATAGTTGTAAAATGGTAAACGGATTTGAAAGCAACACATATTATTGATGATTTATGACAAAATGCTAATTGATTAATCACCAATAATTCAATTTTAAAATAGAAACACGTAAAAAAAAATTGTGATCATTTGAATGTGAAAATAACACTTGTTAAAAGAAAAGGGATGTGAAGAATTGATATGATTTTATCTGATTAATCTGTGTTTTTATCTTTAATTATAGTTTGGTCGTTACCTTTTTAAGCGTGTGAAGGAACTCAACTTTCCAAGAAAAAAAAAACAAAAAAGGTATGTGAAAAACAATGTAATTAGATTTGATGATTAACCCTTCAACTATATTAATTAAACTCATATTGTTAAATAACAATAAGACTCTTTCGTATCATTAAATTATTTACTCCATGTAGTCTAAAGTAGAATAGTTGAAGAAACCATCAATAATTTTATAAGGTCTCAACGAAATCAGAATTTTTATAATGAATTTCAAAATATAAAATATTTGAGTGGATTCCCTCTCTCAAGTATGTGTGGCTCTGCGCTATTGCATATAAAATATTTTGCCTCACCACAACTTAAATATGGAATTTGTATGGGGAAAAACATATACATGATCAATTTGACTTTATAAATGGAAGAAGTAAAAGTTGCAAAGTAGTAGGAATTTCATGATTCACATACACAGTGTTCATTAAACATCTATACATTGTTATGTTAATTAAGATTATGGAGTACTATGTTCAAAAATGACTACTATAAAATTCTGATTTGCTAATTGATATATAATTATTGAATAGCGTTGGAGGGTGTGACAAAGGAGAGTATCTATTAGAGACTAATCCAACATTTTTAATCATTTAATAAGTCTAAAATTGTAGTTCTAGCTCTTATATTTTATCATGAAAAGGTTATAAGTTGTTTATGTACCATATCTGAGATTGCTCAAGTCATTTATTTTGTTGTTTACCTACCACATATTATTTAACCATATCCAAGTTGTTTTTCGATATATCCCTCTAAAAATTTGATTTGATCTTATTCTTCCCCTAATTCACAAAGAGATTTTTGGTGAAATTATCGTGTATGAAATGAACACAGTTTTGCAAAGAAATAATCCATTTATTTTTCAAGAAAATGAAAAACATGTTCAATATCATTTGACTGAATAATTGACAAAACCTCTTGTTTTATTAGTTTTTATATTATATCATTTTTTATTTGTTTTATTATTATTATTAACAGGGTTTCAATATAAAATATGTTGGATTCCACGTATTAAAACACTTTAAAAAATGGTTCAAAATTAACAATTTACTTTTTATTATAAATAAAAATTTTAAAGTAATCATGCATTATTTTTTAAGTTAGACACTTTTTTATTTGAATTATTTATCGACTTGTGCGTATGTCATCCTTGCACAGTGGTCATGCTAATTTTTTTAATGTATTTTTCTTATTTTATCAAAAGTCCCTTCTTTCAAATTAGAGCTATCCACTAGGATGAGAGTTTTTTTTTTTAGAGGTTTTATATAGAGGTCTTTGGGTCATTTTGATCATAATATTATTATCATCAGAAAAAAATTATCTCATGATATTATTGAAAGAGTATGAGCTCTTCTTGAAGGAAATGCCGCTAATTCTAATGTTAATATCTTTTATTTATATTAATAATATATAACTTAATTAAACTCTTCATTAAATTACCTCTGTTTAGAACAATTAATTACATATGAGAAACAAGAAATAATAGTTTTCTTACTAAGAGTTTTGCACAAGACGAACTAGTTTGTGCTTAATTCTCCTTGTATAATAGAAAATGGTCCTCCTTTTTTAATTAAGCCTTTTTAAAACAAAAAAAAATCAGATATTTAGGTCCCTGAATTTGTCGTGCCTACGTTTTATACAGTAATAATAGACATAGGTAAATTAAAAAAATATCAAATATTATTTTGAGAAATATAGACTATTCATATAATAGGAAGAATTACTATAAGAAATTTGATACAACTTGAATATTATGTTTCAAAAAATTATATAGTTAAATTATGATAAACTTCACAAAAGAAAGTAAAGTTTAAGGCCTCTATTCAATTTTGATATTAGGCACTAATGTGTTCGATGACGGAGTCAAATTTTGGATAAAGAAATGTTAAAATATAAAATTGTGTTAAAGTTAATGAACGTTTTTGTAACATTTATACATTAAAATTAAATTTATTGATGTAATTATTTTAAAAAAAAATGTTAAATATATTTGAGCCGATCCTTCCTAAACCCTAGTTGCAGAAAATGAAATTATTAGTGTCTGACTACATCCCACTCCCAAACATGGTGACAAATAAAAGCATGGTCATGGTATATATATTACTCCATATATATTCTTCATTTTCAACACGCCAATAACATGGCTAAAAAGATATTCTGAATTTTGGCAAGTATATACTGTTTGGCTTGATAAAGATAAAAGAGTATAGACAAGATATAAATAATGCCAATTTTTATAATATTGGATAATATTAATTTCTCTATGAATTATGAAACAAACTAGTACTACACTGTAACAAAAACAAGTTTTAACGCCATTAAATATT